TCCCTTCCCTTCCATGGCACGTCCCTTCCCTTCCATGGCACGTAACTAACCTCTACCCTCACGTGTTACATTGCTAGGGGACGAACGGTAACGAACTTGATCCTGACTTGGTGGAAAGCGAGGGCAAGGGGAGGGCAGCCGGTCCCTTGTGCCACCAAGAAGGAAAAGCGGCGAACTGTTGTGGGCATTGGAGAAAGCGGAAAGGAGTGTTGTTTTTGTAACCAGGTTTGTTTGACTCAACCATCTCCTCAGACTGCATGACTAAGGTGAAGGCATGGATTGCTTGAGTGAAGGGAAAGATAACCAAGGGATCATCAAAGACAAACGAAACTTAGGCATGTGGGAAAGGGTGGTGTGTTGACCCCAATGGGGACTGTATTTGGCCTTTGCTTGTGTGGTCTTGCGCAGGTGAGTAACTGGGGATGACTTGATCCGGACTGGTTCCGCAGACAAGGGCTAGGGTGGGAGGCTGGACAAGGGAAGGACTTGGACCTCGCTTAAACTATGAATGGAGGATGGGTTTGGTGGTCGGATGCTTGGATGAGTGGTAGACGCCTGGACGTGGCTTGTGCGATGGTTGAATGCGATGGCTCTCTTGAATGCAATGCAAGCCCGGAAGGACTAAGGGCGGTCTCGGATAGGTGAATGCAATGCTAGTGGCTCAAGCAAAAAAAAATATATATACCGGCTAGGGTTCCGGGCGGTGCCACTCCACCCCAAGGATGCCGCAGGGGCGGTTTTGAGTCGCTAGGCTTAGGGAAAAGGTGTGTGGTCCAATGGATGACGCTTGCCCTACACACGAAATGAAGATAAACTCTCAATGAATCCCCTGGACTGCCTGCGTATTGGAAGGAGCAGTGACCTGGTCAGACGGAAAAGAATCAAGCAAACACCGCGAGTGCCTAGAGAGCTACCATCGAGAGCGGAGCTACATCCTTCAATGTAAAGCCCTCTCGCAAAAGGCCCATCCCCACCCATCTCATAGCACTAGGTGGGGGTGCCCCTGGGACGAACGACCTGCGCCCTGAGCGTGAGCGTGGGCGGGTCGAGCCGAATGGGACCCGCAGTGGGGTCGACCAAGGCTCAAAAGTCCTACAGGGTACGGCCCCTACAAAAATGGTGGAGGTGTCGGGTATTGGGTTAAACTGACCCATACGGTCTCGAGGGGGGGTGCCCGACGCATGACCGTGAACATAAACATGAAGATAAGGAATATGAAGTTGTGTATGCGCTATCCCTTGAGTGAATCAGATTTGAGGGTGGTTGGGCGCATGGCAAGGCCAGGCCTGGAGGAATAACATGCATGCTTGCACGCTTGATCAGCCATCTCCCCGGGAGGTGACTCTAGTCCTCCTTCCTTCAGGATGATGTTCGTCAGACCGGGGAAGCCTTGGGCAAGCCGTAGGTCGACCCTTCCTCTTCGTGTGAAAGAAGGGCTCTGGTTACCTGGCAGGCAATTGGGATTCCGGGCTAGTCCGGGTTCCGATGAAAATCCCGCGGCGGAGTGATCCGACCGACACGGGTAATCTCTTTCCTTTTCTCCGGAGCCCAGCGGGCTCTATGCACCACACTTAATGCTTGAAGGAACCTCATATAAACACAAAGGGTAATCGAGAAGGAACAATCCTGCCCTATGAACGGACACACAAGCGAAGATAAGGGAATGAAGGGAGTTGCTAGACTCCGAGGAAAACTAGCTCACCTTTGAAGATGCTCATGAAAAAGAACCGGGCACTGTGTATGGAAGTTAGGGGTGAGTGGCACACACTGTCCTGAGTGAAAACGTGTGAGCAATGGGTAGGAAGCACTGGGTGCACCACGGGAAAGGCACTTGTTTTATGTGTGTCCCACTTGGGACTTGTGATTGCATGTTGGGATTTCGAGCGTCCTGCCATTTGGAAGGAAAGGAGGGGTCTGCATCGGCCGGTGCGGGTTGCCAAACGTCGTTCTCTTTTTGTAGACTGCCGTTTGTCCGGGTGTGGAGGTCAGGCCACCAAGCTGTCTAACGGGAGTTTGTCGCGCCGGGTGATTGGTCGTATTCTCGTTCGAGCGGTGATGGGTCTCGGCCCAATGATCTGCGGGACGGGGTGCGATCGTCTCTTCAGGCGGGTCTAGCCTGTGGACTGGCGGAGGGAGTACCACTGCATGCGGGCAAAGACGGAGCCTCGGAGACGATTAGTAGCTTCTCGTAGCTTGGTTTGGGATAGGTTGTTCCTTATCGGACCAATGGAAGTGAGTGCCTGGACGGCTGGCTCCAATGGCCCTACCGAGATGAGCGGGGTGATTCCCGAGATTAACGGTGGGTACACGAGCGGCAAGTCGGGATGGAGTATTCTGGGCAAGAAGGTGAGGGCGACCCCCCACTGGAGTCTGGGTACCGCGCTCGCGACGGTTGAGCTGTGCTTGAGGTATGGGATAAAACTCTGCCGATAGTAACAGTGGAGAGACCATTTTCGGGAAAAAGGCCGGTGAGGAGATGACCGGCCTATGTGCGAAGATTGCTTGATTTTCTCCTTTTGTGTCTCCCTCTGTGAAGCTGCCTGATGGATGTTGGGATGGGAACTAAGCTTCTAGTCTATTCTCAACCCCTGCCTAAGTCTGCACGAGTGAGAGAACATGAGGAAGAGGCTGAATAGGAGTCGGAAGAAAATGGAACCAAGAAAAAGGAATGCGAGTCACTGGTGATCGACTGGGGGTATGTTAGGGCAATGGCACCTGGGAAATGGATAAGAAAAGTTAGGGAGACCCGGATGAGGGGTCTAAACATCTAGAAAAGGAAAGAAAACCATCAGACCATGAGGGGCCGTGTGGTGCTCTCATGTGGAAGCGTCGAGAAACAAGATGGCGTGATGGTTGTCGCCTCCTGTCTACTCTAGTGGTCCGGAAATGCCTATAGAGGTAAGGGATGGGGTATCTGTTGTTCTCCCGGAAGAAGGGACGTGGACGGACCTAGAACCAGCCTATGAAACCGTGATACTGGATGAGAAGGACGCATTCCTCTGGATAGAGACAAGGACGCGTTCCTCTGGATAGAGACAATGTGGACTAAGGTCAGCCTGACGAGACTTTCACCTAGCTTGATGGACCTAGAATTCCGGGGAACAGTGGAAGCTCGAGGATGGGTCTACCTATCACAGGAATTGGAAAATGCAATGGTAGTGGGACTAGTATTGAGCACGGCACCGGATCAGCTGTTTAGGCAAGCGGAACGGGAGGTGGTATGGGCAAGATGTCAGCGGGCAGAAATGGAGATGGAAAGGATGGAGGTGCGAGTAGAACTCGGGGACCGGAAAAATATGAGACGTCCTCTTAGGACAATGAGGTGCGTGCTACCCCCGTTTCTGGTGGATGCAGTCTTTGGGACCAGGGATAGACTGGAACCTACCAATCGATGACACACCTGAGGCTGTACCAATGTGCTAGACAAGACTTCTTTAGATTGTCGGTGGAAGCAGGGCCGTTTGAAGGAAACTGGGCGGAAGAATTAGCTGAGGTGTTAAACCTCCTCAGCGCGGACGAAGTCTTTGTTCCTAGTCTGGTGCATTGGCAGATAGTTTATCGAAACGTGGCGGGAGGGGAAACCTTCTTGGAAGGGGTAAAAGAGATGTTCTTCGACGAGGAGGAGGATTCCAGTGATGAGGAGGACGGGGACGAGATAGAGGATTGGGACTTCTGAGGGGGGGGGCTTACCCGGGGAAAACGGGTTGTCAACTATGTGCAGGTAGGGGGCGATGGCCCGGGAACTCGAGCTATGGGACTGCACATGGGAACCGAGATGAATCGGAAGGGGAGTAGAGATGTCAATCCCGCCGAGCAATGAATGGAAGGGGACCACATGTGATTGGCGGGGGTATGAGATTGTGCCGGAGCTATCGTACCTATGGATAGAGCGTGTCTGGAACCCGTTGAGGGAAGAGGAAGGATGGGAAGAGATTGCGGAAGGAAGGGTGGAATCAATCGGGACGATCGTTCTCTGTGAACAAGGTTGGCACCTGTTCTGAACAACACTCGCGGTCGGACAGGACCCGATGTGGCTTTTAGGGGACGCTTAGGCAAAGGTTCGGCAGGCGGGGGAAAGGTGTCAGCAGTAGAGTCGTGATGGGAGGATGGAAGGAATTTAAGCCGCCAGGCACCCGAACCAAGATCTGGGTGCCCGAGTTCGTGGCGGACTGGTTTGGGGGTTTTGATCACATAACAGAGGTAGCGGACACGATGGAACGAATACACGTGAACTGCGCATGGCTGGCAGAGGAATTCTATAGGACGTCCTTGAAATTTGGGCCCTTCCATGGCGATAGATCCCTGGAGGTTCTTATCATTTTGGAGATTGAAAGGAATGACCGACAGGAGGTGGCCCCGGAAACTAGGAAGGCCATATTCCGTCGTGAGGTGGCAACGACACCCTGTTATGTGGACGATGTGTTCAAACTGTTCGAGGTATTGTGGTTCGACTAAGCGCGGGAAAGTCGTGGGGCCAGACAAATATGGGAAAAATTGCTAAGATAAGGGAATGGGATGTCTGGTCATTGTAGGGTTCAGTGCGGATCGCGAGCCAGGAGATCAAAGGCGAGTGCACGATGGCGCGAAGAAGGACGTTCCTTGAGAAACGCCCCTTGGGCATTGAACCACCTAGGGAAGTACCGGGTGGGATAGAGGTTAGCTTGCCAGCGGCGAGTGGAGGCTGGCACCAGGTGGCGGATTGGGTCGGAGTCGAACTTGCGAAAAACATGGTTTACTTGGTGACGAAAGTTGAGTGGCGTGCGGACGAGAATGGGGAGTGGAACCCGCACCCGGGGGGGCATGTGCGTGCAGAAGGACGGCTGTATGTGTCGGAAAATGGGTGGAGGGAGTTCGGAGTCCGCCTGGCATCTGGAGAAGACCCGTTGAGCATGTTTGAAGGGGCGTGGCAGTTAGTGTGGCGAGCGGGATTTGAGTTCGCAGATCCGGGGGTTGACGATGTAACAGCGGACCTTAGGGTAGCCATGGTCGGAAGTTTTGAATTGCCTAGTGAAAATGTACGAATGAGGTTGCCGCCCCTTCCTGCTGGAAAGGCTGGGCGGTCTGGGACTTGTTAGACAAGCGGTAGCCGACCTCGCAAGCCTGACATATGAAGATGCGATGGTACATCGAGAATACTATCGGGCCTTCCTAGAAATGGGCCCGTTCAGTGGAGAGCAGAAGTATGAGGTATTGCGCATCCTGCGTACTATGTTTAGCACCAGACCGAGGGCTCCGGTCGTGGGAAGTGAGGTCCTGTGGGGTGTCGTCCGACGGGAAATAAGTCAAGGGATGGTGTACGTGGATGATCTGTACCGATTGTATGAGTCGATGGACGTAGGGACGGGCCAATAAAAGAGGTCAAGGAAAGAAAAGGAAGGTTCAAGCTAGAGACCGGGGAGTGTTCGGGCGGGAGCTGAAGATTAAATGAAATAAGTAAAACCGCTTGCTGTTTAAACTGTGCAGGGGACTACTAAGTCAAAAATGGCGATGAGACGCGCCCGGATGTTGCGACGGTCCACACACCCGCGGCCACCCACGGAAAGTGGAGGCAGATGGGAGGCATCGCTCCCAGCAAGCTACATGATCCAAGGACTGGGCATGGAATGGAGGGTCGTGACCCTGGGAAGAGGTCAGGCGTTCATGATGGTGGAATGTTTGTGGGATGGTATGAGGATTAACAGAGGACCGAGAGACGATCTGTACACCGATTTTAGGGTGACGGGGACCGTATAACTGCTGAAACTTGGATGGTACATGCTAGGAACGAAATTGGCACTAGGTCACGGGTTGCTACCAATCTTCCAGAGGGCTACTAGGATGTTGAACAGGGTGGGCCAGGAAGTGCGRGGSAGAAGAAACGTGGGATTAAGAACTCRGGTGGAGGTCGGAGGCTGGCGAGARTTTAAGGCCYCAATGACCGGGTTGAGGTRTCGAGTACCTCGTTTCATGGTGGACTTGGTATTCGGTAGCCTCAAGAGAGCTAGGGACCTGGTGGATTCGACCCTGGTTTGGATCCACCACTTCCGTCCACAAACGACGGGAATGTTTTACGACATGTCGGTCAAGCATGGGCCGTTCTGGGGAAATCAGGCCTGGGAGTTGCTTGACCTCATTGAAATCCTGATATTCGATTTGCCTCGCTTAACATTTGAGGAATTTGAGTCGATAATCGTCAGGGAAATAGAGATGGGAGAAAACTACCTTGCGGGGGTGGCTGACCTGTTCGAAGAACCGGACGAGCAAGGCAGGCCTGAGGGACCAGCATGAGAAAACGCGTCGGGAAAAGATAGGGAAATAAGGGACGGGTACTAAGATAAGAAGGCAGCTATCACCAAAAAAGGGGGGGGCAGTGGTTGGAGTTCCGTCCGACCCGATAGCGCGGCAAGGAGGAACTAGGAAGACCACCCGCACCAAAAAACTTTGGGGCATTTGGAGGTCGAAAAGCCAAAAGGGTCATCCTCGATAAGGAGGCCACTGGGCTCAAACACCGCCCTAAGAGCCAAAGCGCGGCAGTAATAAAATGCCAAGCAGCGGCGGCAAGTCCCCCGGCGGGGGAAAACCTGAAGGACGCCTTGGGAAAGAAAAGTCGGGAGAGTCAGACCGATTAATGTAAGACGCAAAAAAACATGGGAATAAGCGGGTTTTAGGGCCGGGACTAGGGCAGTTATGAACAACCGGCCATTTTTTCGCAAAATGTTTTTCCCATGTGCAGGCTAGGTAAAGAAATGGCGATTGAGGAAGGGATCGATGACCAGCAGAGCGGAGGGAATCAGGGCACTAATGGGGATGGGGAACGAAACGAGGGATCAGCAAGGGATCGAAAGTCAGCCAAACTGGAAGGAACCCGAGAAGACGGAAAGGTCCTCTCAACTGGAGAAAAGCTCGGGGAAAGCTGGGGGTAGCAAAAGGGGACCTCAGGAAAACAGGGAAGGGGGAAACGATATGAGAACAAGCCCTCGGAACTCAGCAGGAGCCACCCCTAAAAAGATAAAAATCTCGAATGCCAGTCGTAAATTGGCAGAGATAGAAAAGCAGACTGCAGAATTTAAGGCAAGGCTTATCGAGCAGATGATGGCCGGGAATGAGGAGGACCCCAGGGCGCAGGGTCACGTGAGGACCGGTCAGGAACGCCGAAAGGACGTCAGGACCGGTCAGGACGATGCCAGGTATGAGGGGAACGCCGTATGGTCAGGAACGCCGAATGAGGAGGACCCCAGGACGCAGAACCGGTCAGGACGATGCCAGGTATGAGGGGAAGGATAACAGCCACAAAGGAACGCCTAGTAAGAAGGGGAAGGACAAGAACGACCCCCCGGCGGAGGGGACAAAAAACGCTATGACCCCGCCTGCCATTGACACCGGCACTAGCCGACTGCAAGCCACGCCGAAAGTAACAGGGGCGTGCGACGGACTCTGGAGCCTTAGGGAAAGGGTGCTAGGATGGTTTGACCCAGAAGGAACGCCGAAAACCAGGGAGAAGCAGAGGGAAAGCTAGGAAGGGGAAGGGACCAATGCAGCTGGAGAAGCAGGTAGCTCTGAAGGTGGTCTCAAGAGGATAGTCACCACCCTCACCCGGGCACTAAACAAGAACCAGGGATATCTCGCAGACGCAAAGAAGAAACTCACGTTCGATGGGGCAAACATTACGGAGTTTCTGATAGACTATGAGAACCTAGCAGCCTTACTAAAATGGACGGAAGACGAAAAGATGGAGCACCTAGGGCAGCACGTGTCGCTAAGCTTGGGAAGGGACATTATGGCCATCGAAAAACTATGCGACTTACAACGATTTCCTAAGGGCGTTTATGTTAGTGGCGCTGCGAATTCCCGGGGTAACGGACCGCATAATGAGTAAATGCTTCCTCAGGCAGTTCTTTGAGTTTGATAAGGATAAGATTTTGTCAGCATACCAGCAGACCAGCAAGTTTGAATACACAAGGGATGTGGATTTCAGTACGGTAACAGATCTTGCAGAGAAGACAGTGGTGCACGGGGTTGACAGCAAGATGGACAGAATGGAAAATGCGCTATTAGTAATGCAGGCACAGGTGTCCCGACCCGCCCTCCTGCCCCAAGAAGCCGTAATACCGGCAGCAGTAGCCAATCGAGGTTTCCCCAAAAGGGACTCGGCCAATGAACAATGCAAATATTGTACAATGGTCGGGCATTTCGTGAGGACTTAACCAGGTGTGGGAGATGAAGGAGGACAATGGTCGTTGCAAATATTGTACAATGGTCGGCAGCAGTAGCCAATCGAGGTTTCCCCAGAAGGGTCCGAGACTTAACCACGACATCATTAGACAGAGGTGCAGTAGGTCCCTCAAAGGTGAGATTCTCGGACCTCAGGGAGAGCGTGTAAACTGGAATTCGCCAGGAGGAATGCGGCGTGCCGTCATCCTCCTGAATAACTTGGATATAGTTGCCGTAGAACCAGAGCCGATAGTTGAGCTTGTCTGGGACCAGCCAAGGGGGCGTTGGCCCCAGGTCAACTTCATTCTGGAAGGTAATGGGCAGGATAGGGTAAATATTACTACCCGACGGGCTGGCGCGGAAAAGAAGCTCATCCTAGACACAGTTATGGAAGAAGCCGCGAAGGCTAGAGCAGATCAAGAGGAAGCTGAGGCCGGGGAACAGGAGAAGGTTTATGGAAAAACGAGGGAAGAGGAACCGATAGATAAAGCCACGACGACAAAAAAGAAGTTTAGGTACCAGATCCTGATTCTGACGCTGCCCGAATTAGATGACACTCTGAGCAAACTCCTGGGCACCATGGTGTCGGTATCCTTCCAGACCATGCTGCAGGCAAGCCCGAGACTGCTCAAGGGCCTGAGGTAGCTATTGACGCGTAAACGTGTAGAAGTAGAGGAGGCTCCGGAACCACAGGAACAAGGACCCGAGGAGGCCGAGGCGCCACAAGGAGTCTATAACCTCCAAAGCATTCCAGGGGGCCTCGAAGATTTGGAAAAAACCTTTGCCGATATTCGTCTGAATCTACCGGACCGAGAAGGTGGCGAAGTCATGAGAGCACCGCCCGGCACTAAACTTAGCTTCCACGCACTGCCTGTAGGAAAACTTAAAGTCCAGGTTGGAACTCACCACACCGATGCATTAGTGGATGGCGGCGCATAAATTACCCTCATACGACGGGATTTTGCAACAATCACGGGGTGCACAGTGAACAAGGAGGTAGCAGGGAGAATCAGGGGAGCGGGCGGAGAAATTCCCTTCACTGGGTATGTCACCAAATGCGCGGTCAGGGCAGGAATTCGGGAATCCATCTGGTTTTTCCAACGGATGACCGTCATGGAAGAAATGGACCATGACATAATCCTTGGGAGACCATGGTGCGCCAATGTAGAAATGATTGGCATGCACCTGCATGATGGCACGTATATGGTAGACAAAGAGGATCCGATGACTGGTCGCGGAGAACTCCTCCGACTCCTCGAAACTGGAGGGGACCCTCCCAAGGGTAAGCTGGCAACCTGGTCGCCGACGTTTGAAGAAAGTGCACGGAAAGGCGCATTCGCACGGATGGAAGGCATGAGGGAAAGGGTAGAAATTATGATTGAGGAAGTGTTTAGCAAAAAGGAATGGATCAAAATGGGTCTGCCCCTAAAGAAAAGGAGTCAGGAGGACGAGGTCCTAGGAGTCATGCTCGCAGAAAAGGAGTCGGAGATTGAACTTGGGGCCAGCCTACCCAAGCCAAAGGAGGGACGGAAGGAAACGACAGAAGCAGTACTCGAAATCCCTGACTTGCTGCAGCTTATCAAAGCTATTAGATACCATAAAGTTGGGGTAGATCCGACAGCACTTGCAAGATTTGAAGAAGAAATCTAGAAAGGCTACTGCCTCAATGGGAAGGTTGTCAGTCTTCAACCCCGTTCCATGGAGGTGGCAAGGCCAATCCCGACCATTCATTTTTTAGGAGAACGATCCTAGAAGGGAGTGTGCGAAAATACCAACCCGTAGGGAAGAAGGCCAAGCCGGTCTTGATCCTAGTAGAAACATCAAGGGAAGAGGCCATGGAAAAAGAAGAAGAGATCCTACGGATTATAAGGGAGAGGCGGGCAGCGGAAGGGCATCGCATACCAGATGAGGTAGCAGATACCATTAAAATAGGAGTGGAAGGGTTTCTAACAGCAGAGGAAACTCAGTTGATAAGGAAGGCGTGTTAGGAGTTCCATTTAACTTTCGCTTTCAATGATCACCAGAAAGGGCGGTTGGACGCAAAGCTAGTTCCTTCGGTTAGGATCCACACGGTAGAGCATGATTGCTGGAATGATAAAGGGCCTGCCTACAAGTTTGGGATAGCAGCGGAAGTCATTGACCTGCTTAGGGCCAAGATAGATTCGTTCGTGGTTGAGCCCACCGCATCCCCTTATGCGAACAAGTGGTTCGTTTTCCGGAAGCCCAACAAGACGCTCAGGTGGATCCAGGACTTGCAGAAGCTCAATGCGGTAACAATTAAGGATGCAGTTTCGCTCCCACAGGCGGACTTGCTTGCCGAATCTCACGCCGGGCGGAGCATTTACTCCCTGATAGACCTGTACTCAGGTTACAACCAGTTGCCACTTAATGTGAGGGATAGACCGTATACCGCAATGCACACCCTGTAGGGCAGTTGCAGATGCAAGTGACCCCTATGAGCTTCACAAATGCGGTAGCAGAGGCGTTGAGGAGGATGCTCGCCGTCGCAGGGGATATGTTTCCGAAAAAGTGTGAATCTTATATAGATGATAATCCCGTAAAAGGCGCAAGGTACAAGGACGAGGCGGAGGTCCAACCGGGCGTACAGAAGTTTGTTTGGGACCACTTGCAGGATATTAAGGACTTGCTCCAACGATTCCTAGTTTACAATATTACTGCAAGCGGACCCAAGAGCATCCTGGTCGTCCCGGAAGTAACCATACTAGGGTTTCGTTGTGGGGCCTACGGAAGGAAACCTGACCCAACAAAGACTCATAAGATCTCCCAATGGCCAACACCCCTGCGCACCTCGACGGAAGTACGAGCCTTCCTAGGGGTGGTTGGATTCTGGAGGATCTTCATCAAAGAATTTGCCAAGATAGCTGAACCAATCCGCGCAATGATCAGGGAAGGGGGTACTATGGAGTGGACCGAGGATAGGGAAGCGGCATCACAGACCCTCAAAGATATCCTGTCCTCCGATCAGGTTACCTTAGCAGCACCCTGCTTTAATGACGAAGTAGGACGTCCTAGAGACAGATGGCGGCCCAATGGCAGTAGGGGGCATATTGATACAGAAAAGCGAGGAAGGAAATGAAAGACCAATCAGATTTGAAAGTAGGACCCTGAATTCGGCGGAACGGCGGTACTCACAGTTCAAGAAGGAGGTCTTAGCGATCCTGCATTGCCTTAAGACCTTCCAGGCATACCTGTTTGGAAGGCGATTTATCCTAAGGATCGATCCCACCAACGTCGTCGGGGCTCTAAAGAATTACAAGCCTATAGATCCGACCGTCGGCAGATGGATAGGCTTCATATGGCAATTCGACTATAAGGTTGAGCGAATTACGGGGCTTCGAAACAGGGCAGATGGGCTGAGCAGAGTATGTATCACGCTAGAAGTAGTAGAGGACGTGGAACCAATTGACGCTTTCCTAAAATACGAAGGGGGGACCCTTGTTGTGGATAACGAAATGGCAGACTCGGCGCTTACAACAGGTCAGTTGCTGATTCAGACCTTGGAAAAGGGCACGCCTGCAGTAGTCGCAGAACTCAGGGAAGGATCAGTCACCACAGTCAGGTGCAAAGAGGAAAAGGACTCGTGGGGAGCAAAAGTAGGGGCCAAAGAGGAACTGATGGCAATGGCCGTGGAAGGGGGACGGGACGCCGTGATGACGTTGGCCGAAACCTGGGCGCAGAAGGAATGCCAGTACCTAGTCCACCAGACCCGAGAAGAGAAGGATACGGATCGGAAGGAACAAGAGTTCTTCCTCATATAGATGTATGAGGGCGTCTTTAGAGAAATCGGTCTGCTGCTTGTAGGGAACAAACAGCCCACGGAAGTCAGCTCCGAGGCAAGAGAGGAAGCTGAGAAGTACGTCTTAAGAAATGGTCACCTGTTTAAGAAAGAGGAAGGTATGATGCCTAGGCGTGTTGTTTGTGGGAGGTCTAGGCAGTTGGACGTAATTCAAGCAATGCATGATGGGCTAGCTGGAGGTCACCGGTCGTCAAAGGGGACACTTGCAAAGATCGTGCCCCTGTATTTCTGGCCAGGAATGGCAGGCATGGTCGCAACGTACTGTCAGACGTGTCTGATATGTCAAGAGAGGAGCTCTGTATGGGTTTACGAGCCCCTTAGACCCACTCGGGTACTGGGACCAGGGCACCTTGTTCACCTCGATCTCGCAGTCATGCCCGTATCGACGGATGGGTATAGATACATCCTGGATGCAAGGGATAACCTCAGTGGCTACGTAAAGGCCGTAGCCCTCAAAAGGAAGACAGGGAAAGGAGTGGCTGATTGGGTAGAAGACTTCTACCTAAGACACCCCTTTGTGCGCAGGTTCATAACAAACAATGGGACAGAGTTTGTCAACCAGGAAGTGTTGAGCAGGCTTAAGGCCTTGTGCGTACCTATTAAGATCACGGAACCATACCGCCCTGAGGCAAATGCACCAGTAGAAAGGGGCCATCGGACCTGAAGAACACAATCGCGAAGCTGGCAGCGGACGACTTGGGAAATTGGCCGCGGTATCTTAGACAGGCAGTCTTCTCTGAGAACGTGACACCAAAGAGAACGACGGGGTGTATTCCGGCAGAACTCTGGTATGGAAGGGAGATTGATTTCCCGGTAGAAGCTCTCGTTCCTACTTGGAACAGGCTAGATGACCATCCGCACTTGACTACAGAAGAGTTAATCGCCGCACGTTGCCAGCCGGTCGCCATAAATGAGGAGGCACTGGAGGAAGTAGTTAACCGCGTGATGGATTGTCGAATGAGGGACAAAGCAAGATGGGACCAGGTGAAGAACATTCGAAAGGAGCCGCTCCAGGTGGGGGAAAAGGTGCTAGTCAGGAACTCGGCACTAGAAAGCACATGGTCTGGGCGGTTGGGAAAGAGATTCAAAGGGCCTTACAGGATCGCGAAGCGGGTGGGATTGAACACGTTTAAACTGGAGGATCTCGATGGTACTAGCATAAGGGGACCATTCCCGGGACAAGGGCTGGTCTGATTCTTCAGCAGGGACCCTGTGGAACAATGGCTACAAAAGGCTCAAGATGGGGAAACAGGGGAATCAGCAGCATGAAAAACAGACAAAAGGTTATGATTCTGGACCATCCTCCTGAGGAAGTGATTATGACCATAGGGGTTGCTCGTTTTGTGTGTCTTATTCTATGAGGGAACATGGGATGACTGTCCGGGCTGAGCGTGAGGATGAAAGCCTGGGACAATGTACCATAGTTGGTGGGGCAATTTTGGGGGACTGCCTACATGAGGTGCCTGCAAGGGGAACAATGTGCCTAAGGAATGATGGGACCACCAACTACGTGGGGGCAACTAAGACTCCTGGGAAGCCCTGCAATCTGCAAATGGGGATGGGAGGGTGTGTGTGTGTATGAGGGGTGTGGTGACTGTTATGTACGAACAGGGCCAGGCAAGAAGAAGAAGGCAGCAAGAAAACAACAAGATGGAGTTTGGAAATGAGAATGACAGCAGTGCAATTAATAGGCCGGAAGAGGGACAGTCATCAAGACAAGCTGGAGAGCCTAGCTCCAGGAAAAGGAATCTGTATGTGGGGGTTGATCACAACCTGGTGGTGAATAGAGGGGGCAGAAAACAAGGGACCACAGGGCCGTCACCACTGAAGGAAGGGGAGCCAATAGAGCTGCCTTCAGACAGTGATGCTAGTAGTAAGGAAGAGGGGAACCCGCAAAAAAGGCAAAGGCTGGAGGAGGGACCCAGAGGAGGGACAACGGCCGGGAGAGAATGAGCCCGTTGAGTTCATTGACCTCACCAGCGAAGAGGAAGAAGATGAGGTAACGACGCCAACTAGGGAAAAACGGGGAAGAGAGGAGGAACCGGGTCAGGAAAAGGACAAACGGATAGAAGAGTTTGGGCCTACCTTCAGCGACTGGTTTGATCAATGGGGCACTATTTTGCGATTTCAGTGGATAACGAAGGCAAGGGCAAAACTGGGCAGGGGAGAGGATCTATCCCCAACAACCTTTCTCACAGAGCAGACACTCCTTCAATTGCAAGGAATAAAGAGGCAAATGCAGCAGGAAATGGAGGACCGTGCAAGAAGGGAGGCTCGACGCAGGCCACCCGGACATTAAAGGAATAGCAGGCACAATGGGGGTTAGTTTGAGATCGGGGAAGGGTTGGTACCCGGTGTCGGCGCGAATACCCTTACAAGGGTATCCGCCCTGGTTTTTGCAAGTGACAGGAAATAAGGTTTCTTCAAAATCTTAGTATACCGTGCCAGGGTATGGGATCGGGTACACCACCCGCTGCCCATGATCTGCTGCGAGGAGCTTGAGGGTGAGCACGGCCGTTGGGGCCAGCGTCGATGCTGACGAACGTTAAGGCTCAAGGGCCTGGCTCATTAGGTACGGACTGTTGGAACACAGAGTCAAGTTCGAATCCTGGAGCCTCCAACTGAAGAAGGAATAAACTCACTCTAAGTTGCCTAAGGCTAGCCGGTTCCACAGCAGTGCCTTGGAACTGATGCTCCAGCACACATCCTCCGGGACATCCGCTAGAATTGGGACGACACAGAGAAGGTTAGCATGACCCCTGCGCGAGGGTGGCACCTATGAAGAGTGGGATGCAGAGCAGGATCGCCGTTGGCCTTCCTCTTCTACTTTTGCCATGGTGGTGGAATGCATTGGGAGGCCATGCAGCGCTGCCAGGGGGAGCAGGAGGTGGAGGGCAAGGCAGCGGAGTGACGGACGGCGGGGAGAGACCGGGCTGGCTGCTGTGGCAGCAAGGGAGAGACCGGGATGGCCGCTGTGGCAGCAAGGGAGAGGTGAAAGAACCTGGACACATTTTCGCGCCAGGTACATCCGATACAGAAGGAGGAAGGAGGTGGATCAAAGCAGGCACCTACGAGGAAGATGGGGACAAACGAGGAGAATGAGAGAGAGGATGGGGAGTGGGTTAGCAGCAAAACGGGGTAAGCGGAGGGAGTCAACAAGGTGGAAAGGGGAGTGAATGAGTCCGGACGGCCTGTCAGGCAAGGTGCATGCGAAGAGGGAGTGAACCCCGCACGAGTTCGTGCCAGATGCATTCGAAGACGGCAACGGAGAGATGAGCATGCTGGGAAGGAGAGATCGTAATCTGCCCATCTCCTGCTAGAATCGGCCGGGAAAGGTAGTAGGGAGAGATTATTGGACCGGGCGGGTGTAGAAGTAGCATTAGAGTTGACGAAAGACTTAGCAGAAGGAAAAGATCAGAAGAAGACAGTCCGCGCCGAGATATGGCGGGAGCGAGCAAAGAGAGAATGGGAGTGAGGAAATGTGAAGACCGCCCGATCGTGGATGGAAACGGGCGGGGGAAGGTCTGAGACGGGGGTTTTTGACCATTGTGAACGTGATGGTGAAGTTAGATTAGTGAGAGAGTTAGTAGAAGACGAGCTACTACAGAAAGCTACTGCGCGGGGATATGGAGGGAGCTGGCTATTGCGGGCCAGAAAGTRGTGTAACTCGCCTATTTCTTAGTGAAATCGGGCGAGTAAAAATGCTATCTAGGGGTTTTTGGACATGGCGAACTCGAATATGAAGTCAGTTYTTAGAGAAAKTTAGTAGAAAAAGAGTAGGATTAGAACAGCACCGCGCGGAGGTGTCGGGAGGAAGTGAAGGCGGTGAGGTGGAAAAACCATATTTCACTCGTTACTTCGCAGAAATGAGTAAGTAAAGACTCGACTGTGGGGTTTGGAACCCAGGTGAAGTTGATGGCGATGGGAGAAGAGAGAAAGGAGTGCTAGTATTGGGGCTATGGGAGCTGGAGGCTGCCCAGTGCACGACAGAAAACGGCAGTAAAAGAGGAAACTCGAAACGGCAGTGTATCTGTCCGTGTTATAGCGAAGGATTCAAACTCAAGTTGCACATTTGGGGAGTACGCCCTCCAGCGCATCGTTATAATGTCCATCATCGAGACCAGGGCGTGATCCTCGTTGTTGGGATCGTGGGTTGGTCGACGTATGCCTCGCATTGCTTTGCGTGATGGTCGGAGTCGCCATTTTTTTGTCACGAGTGATCGCACAGCGTTGCTCATGATGTTCGTCATATAGTGGTTTTCGCTGCCATCATCCTGATTGCAGTGATCTGCTCTTCGTCGAGCTTGGTGGTGGTGATGTTCGAAATCACGTCCGCAACACAACTTCGGTATCGTGACCCTGCTCGTACTGAAGGTCCCCGTCTCCATTCCCGGTGGCGCTCGTCAGTCATATTGGCCATAATTCTCACGGGTGGCGTACTCCTGAAAGATGCGCGAGCAGAGAGAGCGAGAGAAGAGAGAGAGAGAAAGAGAGAGAGAGAGAGAGAGGGAGGAGGAAGAGATCGAACCCACCTGTTTGTCAGGAACTGCCTCGTAGAGAGAGGCTAAGGTTGCTATTGGGAAACAGTGAATCCATCCGCGATATAACGGAAGATTCATTCCCGTTTCGCATATCCGGGTCGCAGCGGGGGGAATCTTTCCTAGGCCTACGGGCCATCTGATAACCAGTGCAGAGCTCACTCTAGCGAAGAGGGGCAGTGTGTCTCTACCTCACTGCAGGCATGGCCACTCTTACTAGGTGGAGTGATCTGCTTGATTGGGCTCGTTAGTGAGTGAGACCTTCAGTCTGCGGAATGGCCACATAGGAGAGTGGTAGATTGGGAGCCCCCCCTCCTTGATGTAGTAGGCGATGGAGCACAACGCCGAGGGTGCACTCGTTGCTTCGGTCCAAGTGTGACTATATGCCATAACCGGTGGTCGGCCGTCAATAACCGGCTGTGGGTTCTTACGTAATTGGTGCATGGAGACTTGACTGAGGCGACGCTTTTTGGCGGGCAGCGCAGGCAT